GTTGCTCCAAAATCTAGATCAGCCAGGAGGTATATACAATGGTACAAGACTGCAAGTGCTTGATTTGGGAGAACGTGTGATTCATGCGAAAATAATTTCAGGCACAAATATTAGAAGAAGAGTATTCATTCCTCGCATGGTGATTAACCCCACTGACAAGAGTTTACCGGTTAAAATAAAAAGAAGACAGTTTCTAGTTATTGTTTGCTTTGCAATGACTATAAATAAGAGCCAAGACCAATCACTTGCAAATGTTGGTTTATACTTAAGACATCATGTTTTCACTCATGGTCAGTTGTACGTGCTTTATCTAGAGTGAAATAAAAAAAGTGATTAAAAGTCCTCTTTTTTGATAAGGATAAATAATTTGGATGCCGGACGACTAATGTAGTCGTCTACAAAAAGCATTGGATAAAGTGTGATTGATAATATTTTCTTCATTGTTTTTTCTTTCACACTCTATTTATTATTTTTTGATACATCATTTAAATTTTATTGATCTTTATATGTTTTCACAATTTAAATAAATTATTCTTCACCGTTTTTAACATCTTTAAATGGCTCTACACCTTTTTTTCATTAATTGATGTGTTTCGTTTGTATATTTTACAAATTGGTTGGGAAAAACTTCACAATCTGTCCACCAGATGGGCCACCCACTACTTTTGAAAATAGTTTTAAAATTTCATCAATAAAGAGAAATTTATGGTGATCAACAAAAAAATTATTTGTTTTCTCCGCTAATACATTTATGGCCCCCAATGTGAATTTGTACGGCCTATCTATTGGGTTAAATGACCTATGATTTATGTTAAATTGAAAGTGAATCATTAGATCGCAAGAACTTTTACTTAATTTGAGAATCAAATTGAAAGTGAAGAATAAATACTGTTACCACTCTACAATGATTGCACTTGCTACTTATATCCTTGAATTGATTTAGCTAAACAGTTAGAATACGAGTGGATGCCCCTGAGGCCCTGAATACGCATATTATTACATTATATTTACACTACTTCTTTATGTTAGTAATGGATTGTTTATAAAATTCTTTAGTATTTCAGTGTTTGGTAGCTTACAAGTTGTTTTTCTTTCGCAGCTAGCAAATAATACAATGAGGAAATTTTGTGATGGTTTGTTTATTTGCTCATCTTAATTAGATCTCATAGGTACAATCTTGTGATGGTTCCGTGAATTTAGATTTAGTGTTACATAGGGAATTGAATGATAGCGTAGTAGTTAGGTTGCTGTCTTTACTGTTCGATTCTCACGTGGGGCTGTAAGGGGGTTTTACCCAATTTTAAGTGGGGTCCACTGGAATAATTTTTATTTATTTATTTTTTTAAAAAAATTTAGTGTTACATGTATTTCTCTGTCCATTTCTTAGGTCTAACTTACACATAATAGACGTGATAAGTTACCGATCTATCATTCGACTCGATAAACACTCATTTTCCAAACATTATGTCAGGTGGAGTGTTTCCTTAATCATATAAAGTGCGTTAACCTACATTTCCACACCGTAGCTACCAAGAGAATTAATAATACATATGGAAGGAATTTACAACTGCAATTTTAGACTAATAAGTTGTTTATTTCACTCGTTATTGGAGAAAAGCGAATTTGGAATAGGGGCACGATGCATGCTTTGACTTTGTAACTACAAAATCATGATGTATTTGAGTTCATGGACCAAAATATTTATTCACTTGAAATCTTTCTTCTTCGTGATTGAACAAATATTTGCACCTTGGCGATTTTTATACATATTTGCTAAATCTACTTTATTTTCTTGGTGTACCACACACACTGTCTATCTGTATTTTTCCTTAGACGTTATGCAGATTTTTTTTATACGTTAAATAGGTCTTTCAGAGGTTTCACTATTATTTAGTTTTGTAATTGATAGTAATTGAACAATAAATGGTTTGAATGGCTGTTGAAGTTATGAAATCCAAGCTATTAAAGGCCTTTTCATGTTTCCATTCATATTGTAAATAGTTTTTGCAAACAGCTCAAGCTCGACCGCACTTATGTTGTCCCAATTGACACGGCCCAAATATTAAGTAAATTTGGCCCAATAACTTTGGTAGACTTGGGCCCATTTGAAAGTATTGGGTCAAGCCCAATAACCGGGATATTCTAGAATATCCTAAAACTATCTAGAGGTTTGTAAAGAATATAAGGAGAATCATGTGGTATTGTCTGGAATGTTGTGGAGATTTCTAGAACATTATAGAATAGTGGAGGAAGTTGTAGGAATTCTCTAGATTTAGGATTTTAATACTTTATGACTTTATATATAATTATCTAGAATTTTAAGGGTTTAGGGTTACCAACTATAAAAACCCCCCATCGTAAAGAATGAGAAATTCAAGGTGTTGAATTCTAGTTCACGAGTTCTCTCAACTTCTCTTTGAGTCCTCATTCTTTCTTTCTCCTTTTCTTTGAACCTTCAACTTTTTAATTAGTTCTTCTCGAGAATTTTGAGAGTTTTAAGGGTCAGGTTGAGCTAGCGTTTTTCATTAAGGGTCTAGAGTGCTAGTGCCGCACGGTTTTAACTTGTAAAATGGTTAGCCCGTGACACAATGCAGTTATTCATAAAAACGAATAAAAGAAAGGGCAATTTTTACCTTTCCTATCTGTGGTTAGAGCAATTCACAAATCAGTACCTTAAAGTTATAAAAATCTCAATTTCACTACTTATGTTTGGATTTTTGAACTGAAACGGTATAGAAACGTAACAACTAACTAAGACAATGGAAGAGCGGAGTAATTTCCATGAATAATCAAATAGCTAAGAGCATCTTCAATGAATTATACTTTGAAAAGTGCAATACATTAATCATAACATGATTTTCTTACATTCCATTTTACTACACTATTCCGTAAATAGATTTTAATTTCCAAAATATAATACGAACTCACCATTACAATATCATCGCTTAAAGATCACATTGTTGTTTTATTATTTTTAAAAAATATTATTAAGGATGTCCAACAAACCAATAAGAACTTTTCATATACAAATTTTTTTGAAATATATTTTAAATTTTCAAATAATAAGAAAATAATAACAAAATAGTAATAAACCACAAAAATAAAAATATGAGAAAAAGAGTTGAAGTCACATAATATGTTAGAACAACAATAGTAGTTCTGTCATTGTTGTTCTTCCAGCCATTCAGTTATTTTTTTTTTTAACTATTTTCTCCAAATGGATCAGTAACATAAATAGCATCTTCTCAATCTTTATTTTCATCCCGCCAGTAAAGTTTTTTTTTTCATTAAAAAAAGAGAACAAAAAAATCCACTCTTTTGATAAAACTAGAGTGAAACTAGAGTGACATGTAAAACTTCCGACATTTTTCTTGAAACTAGAGTGACATGTAATTTGATAAAACTTCCACTCTTTTGTCCGGTTTAATTTTTCTTCATGTCTTATTAGACTATAGAACCATAAGGTCGCTTTTAAAAGTACATATTACATTAGTTTGTTAGAAATTTTTTTTTTCAGTTTTAATTTTTGGTTTTAGTACAAGTTGACTAAACATAAAAGTCCAAAATTCGGGACGGAAGGAGTAAAAAATAATAAGAATTTTGAGAATAAAAATGACTGCATGTGTAAAAAATAATCTGTTTGCTTATAGCAATTGTTCACTCTGTATAATTATGGAAAGTCTATATTTCATGTGAGAAGAAATATTCTCTCTGATCTTAATTATAAAATACAAGTTAACCCTAAATTTAGTTTAAATACGTGCGTGCCTTGTAATTAGGACCAGGGGGAGTAGTAGTTTTTACTTGGCACTTAGGTAAAATCCCAATTTTCAATCAAAATAAAGTGGTTGGAAAAATGGGGTTTATAAACTATAAGGGATGAAACTGTGAATGTCTTAAACTACAGGTAGGTAAAATGGATATATATATATATATATATATATATATATATATATATATATAGCCAAAAGGAATTTTTACCTTTTTGCTCTCTTATCTCCATCCTTTTACAGTTCTACGTCTGTTTCCGTTTTCTCCTCATTTTTTACTTCCTCTTCCAAATCATAACTGAAACCAGCATATGGGTCGGGTCGGTCTCGTTCGATTCTTATTACCTTTCTTGAACCTTTCTTCGTACGCTTGAACCCAACAAAGTATAACAACACAACTCTGCTCGTCCGAGCTTTCCAGTTTTCTGACGCCCAAAACCACTGTCGAAAAAGGTTATGCAGGAATTACAGTTTTCTTGAACACATTGTTTGATTTTGTTCGAGTCCCATGCTTCAATTTGGACTAGCGAATTTGTTATACCGCAAAGTGCATGTATTTTTCTTGTAACCCTTTAAAGGGTTTTTGGAATAATTTCGACCCTCTTACTGAACAAAGCTTGCTCTGTAGTCTACTCTGTTGTAAAAGTTGAAAACATTTTTCGCTCCTTTCATCCTTCTTTACATGCATGGTTCTTAGTCTGGGTCATTTTGAAGGCAAAAATCTAGACTACCGTTCTGAATGCTCATTTTAACCATTGGGTTTTCTTGGGTTCTATTTTGATCGCGAATTTCAGATGGGGTTTGTTAATTTTCTTTTTTCAGAATCGGAAGGCGTACAACTGAAGCAGGGATAGAGTGGGATAATGGTAAGTAAATGGTTCGTTTTTGTTTGTGTTTTTGATCATTAAGTTGCGGCACTGATGCTATTTTCGTATGATTTTTTTATTTTATAAAACAAAAAAAAAGGGATACTAGAATATGTTCTCTTTTCTGGGGTTGTTCTTGATAGGACGTGTTGTATAAAGATGCTTCTGGGATTAATGAATTTACTGGATTATTTTTTGGATAATGATGACCATGCCCGTTTATGATGATTTTAGGCGTGAAAAGGGGTTTCTTGAACTCATCTACTACGGTGATGATTTGCCTAATTCTTTTGTTATTTGGGGTTCTTTGCCATATCCTTAAACAATTTGGTTTGAGTTACAGTCAGACATCAGGAAGTGGTTCATGAAGCAGCACGATAAAGGCGCTGGCAATGGCAATACCCCCAAGCCCAAAGCAGTGGAGAAACCCTCTTCAGCTGTTCCACAATCCGATAATTTGGTCTGGTTTATTTCCTAACTTGCTTTTATTTTACTGGTGCTAAACTTAATATCAGGAGTACCAAAATTTAGTAAATTAATGGAATATCTGAAGTTTAGTCTTTCTTTCGTTAGAATGGGGGTTTTTTCAAGTGACTTTTCCTGGATAATGTAGGTAATTGCTCTAAAATAAACATTATGGAACTGCTAAGTGACCACATGGAATAGAAGAGGAAGAAAAGTGACAAACCTTACTAGATGGTAGAAGGAAAATTAAATGTCTGTTAGTGATCTTATCAGTTTTGCACAAAGCATCTTTTTTTGTGCATTTGAGCCTGTGAGTTTTACTTCGATGGGACCATGTCTGCCGTAGTAAAGCTACACTTAGCCTTGACATATGGGCCATCCTGAATTCTCGATATGTATTCTTCTGGAAAAAACTGAAGGGCTAATTTTTCCGTTGATCATTATTAGTTTAAATTTCTTATTTTAGAACTTGCATAGTGAGCTTCTTCTTTGTGATTGTGGATTATAAAGGTATTCAAACTATTTAAACGTTTGATGGCTACTGGAAATTTAGGTTGTTGGAGGACAAGATAGTTCTGGGAGAAGGAGAACTAGCAAATATTTTGCTGACAAAGAGAAAAAGGAAGTAGAGGGATTACCAGAAAAGAGGAAGTCTGAAACAGCTGATTTGAGGGCTTCTCCAGCTAAAAAGGTCAACAAGAATAAAAATGAAGATGATGAAGACTTTGTCTTGTCCACCACTAAGAAAGTTTCAGCTGATGTTACTCCCAGCAAAAAATTAAAATCTGGTTCTGGAAGAGCTGTCGCCAAAAAATCTGAAGAATTAGATGAAAGTGGTGAAGATGATATTAAGGAAATGAAATCTAATTCAAAAGCTTCAGAAAGAGGTCGTGGTGGAAGAACTGGGAAAACAGCTCCTGGTGGCCGTAAAAAGATGGTTATTGATGATGAAAGTGATGAAGATGAACCTGATGATAAAACTAGCCAATCTGTTAAGCCTGGTGGACGAGGTCGTGGGGGAAGAGGATCATCGACTGCATCAACGGGAGGTCGAGGCAGAGGTAGTGGAGGACGCGGTGGTTTTATGAATTTTGGTGAAAGGAAAGATCCTCCACACAAAGGAGAAAAGGTCTAGAAACCAAAATTTCTCATGTGCTTTATGTCGCTTGTTTCATTGAACTGATCAGGACCTTTTCCTATGTTCCAGGAGATTCCAGAAGGTGCTTCCGATTGTTTAGCTGGTTTTACCTTTGTAATAAGTGGTACTCTTGATAGGTATGATTTTATATCAGCCCTCGAGTTTAATGTTGTGGACTTGTAGTTCTTTCTGCAAGTAAATATTCTGACCTGTCCTTGTGATTGTGCTTCCTTTTGAGCCTGGTATCTTTGATATCTGGACCATCTGGAATTTGCTTCTCGTTTATCATATACGTAAAAGAGTGTAATGCATTGACTAATCTGTTTCTCTTTATTCTAGTTTGGAAAGAGAAGAAGCTGAGGATTTAATAAAACGTCATGGTGGTCGGGTTACAGGATCTGTCAGCAAAAAGACGGTTGTTACTAGTTTCCCACATTTTTAGTGGCTTTATATTTCTGGGATTTACTGATTTTTCCCGTTTCCTTTGTGCAGAATTTTCTGCTTTGTGATGAAGATATTGAAGGACAGAAGTCACGTAAAGCGAAGGAGCTTGGGTCGGGTCTACTTGCCTTAGCATTATCTTTTGATATTTAATTGGTCTTCAAATAAAATTAATTTAGTGTTCCATTCATGTAGGACTGCATTTCTCACTGAGGATGGGCTACTTGATATGATTCGTAAATCAAATAAATCCAATACAACTAAGTCCGAGGAATTGAAGAAACCAGTGGACAAGGTCCTTCCCTCACCAAAGAAGACATATCCATCATCAGCAGCAAAAAGTATGCCCTTTACCATATCGTTTAGCTTCAATATAGTTACAAATTATTCTGCTGATTGTTGTCCACTTGATTATGGATTTTTAGCTTCAGTGATATGTTTTGATAGGATCTCCTTATCTATGAATTTTGGGATCACCTTAGTCCCCTGTAACAGATAGAAATAGGACTCAGGCTATCTTGTTGCTGCTCGATTGTCATGATTAACCTTTTCTCAAGGTGATGATGAACATTTGGTGCATTTTAAGTTTTTCTTTGGATATATAGACAGAGAAACTTTTTGTCGAAATTGTCATATTCCTCCTGTGAAAAGAGGAAACCTCAATCTTATCTGAGATTACTATGAATAAATTTAAGGGCAAAATGTTTTATTTATTTATTTATTTATTTTTTATCGAGCAATAGTACAAAGACAAGAGATGCTTCTGTTTTATCTCTTATGTTTACTTGCCAATTGCCTTCCAGTTTTCTTTAGACTTTTAGTAGCTTCTATGCCACAAATATCTTAGATGCTACTTTGAATTTTCTTTCCTAGCAGATCAAGTGGGCGGCTTGCCCTCCAAAAGTACAGTAGCAAAAGGATCAGGCACTGGCATTACTTCTGCAAAGACAAAAAGTCAGGCAACCGAGCAATCATTGTTGCCTTGGACTGAAAAATATCGCCCAAAGGTCCCAAATGACATTGTTGGGAATCAGTCATTGGTATGTCTGGCCGTTTAATTAGTTTATTGTGCAACAGCTAGAATTATGTAAAAAGATCTTATCTATAAGAAGTTTTAACTTTTAAAATGTCGGAATAAAATGCAGGTTAAGCAACTTCATGATTGGCTTTTAAATTGGAATGACCAGTTCCTTAATTCTGGAAGTAAAAGCAAGGGGAAGAAACAGAACGATTCCGGTGCTAAAAAGGCTGTACTTTTAAGTGGTACACCTGGTATAGGGAAAACTACATCTGCGAAATTGGTCAGTCAGATGCTGGGTTTCAAGGCAGTTGAGGTAACTTCTTGCAATAGCCTGTGATCTGTATGAAGTGTTTTACTCTGTTGTTTACTGGTGGTATATTTGCTTTCTTGTGACTAAGGTTATCACTGGAGAAAACTTTCTCCACTGGTTGCATATTCTTTGTTCGCCTCTTAGATAGAAATACAGTTTGCCCTTAAATATGTGTGTTAATATCATTGCCTGTTATGGATGTACAACAGTTGTCTTTTTTAAGACATTCTCTGTGCTCATGTATTTATTTGTAATTATTTTTTTTGATAATCCTGATTTACTGCATAACTATTTTAGGTTAATGCTAGTGACAACCGTGGAAAGGCTGATTCTAAAATTGAGAAGGGAATTGGTGGTAGCACTGCTAATTCTATACAAGTGCTTGTTACTAATGAAGCAATAAGCAATAAGATCGATCGGTTAGTCCCTAATCTCTTAAATGTAGCGTAAGTGAGAATAGATACCTCAGTCTAATTGGTTAGTAATATTGCAGATCTGAGCATCAAAAAACGGTTTTGATTATGGATGAGGTGGATGGAATATCTGCTGGTGATAGAGGTGGTGTGTCGGATCTTATTGCTAATATAAAGACTTCTAAGATTCCAATCATCTGTATCTGTAATGATCGCTATAGCCAGAAGCTAAAGAGTCTTGTGAACCACTGCTTGCTTCTCAGCTTTCGAAAACCGACAAAGCAGCAGGTGACCTTTTGACCTAATTGCACTTAGGTCGCTTCTCTATGTATTACGCGAATAACTATTTTAATATGACATTATTTCAATGCTCTTATGATGGCCGAAAACTTGACTATGTTTCTAACGCTTAATGTGTGCCTTGAAGTTTTCTATTGTTGAATGGTGACTTTGTGTTAATTTCAATCAGAGACAGCCACTACCCTATCTTGGACATGTAAAGTTGATATTCTTGTTAATGGTTAATAAGTGGTTTAACCAGACTGCTTCCTTGATATGTTACTTGGTGATAATAATTCTGAGTACCAAACATGACATGGTTGATAGTCGTAAAGTAGTAGATATGAATAGATATTCAATGTGATTGTCAGACAAGTGATAGTTACATGACAAGTGTGTGAGTTCTGGATGACGAGTCTGGGGTGGAAGCATCGGGGGCATAAAATGATGCATCTCTAAGCAATTTCTTTTAGCTGGAAGTGACCAGGAAATTTGTGAGCTTTTCGACACTCTCAGAGATGGTCAAAGGGTTTCCAGCATGAAAGTTAGCTAGTTCGGCGAAGAATGATTGCCTGCATGATAGCTGATATTTTGAAATTGATCTTAAAGATTTTTCTTGCAACCCGTGTAAAAAAATAGTGTGTTTCACTTCTTTTCTTTTGTGTAGAACCAATTTAATACACAATTTTAAACTGAATGAGATGCTGTATCTTTTCTTACTGGTTAAGTCCCATTGTCGTGAAATCATGCTTAGTCAATCTTGAGTGCAGTGGAGAGAGATTATCTGGCTGTTATGTGGCTGTAGTCAGGCTGTAACTGAAAAGAGTGACCATTGCCTCTCATTGCTCTTCAGTTGTTGACATGTATTTAGGGATGGGTATGCTTATCAAATCTGGTAATTTGAACTGTAGTTTAAATTTTTCTTCAACTAGTTTGCTGATAGAGTAGGGTTGGTTTTGTATGCTTTAAAGCACTCCAGAAACTATCGAACAAAAATTTGTGTAGTTGTAAAATTTTACTTAAAACTAAACACATTTTCACTTCCCTCGAGGCACTTTACTAAAGACATTTTATTTCGAACTAAAATTTTTCTGCACTTTTTGTTTCCCTCAAACTAGTGCGTGAGGTTTGCATGACCGGCCTGTTTTTTGTAGTTAATGTTGATTGGATAATCATAACAATTTTGTTCTCATTGGAGAGAGTTTACAGATCTTACTGTGTATGTTATTCTCTTGGTGTGCTCTTATCTGTGACTCTTTGTACATTGTATCTACTTAGGCTTCAAGGTTGATCATGTTGAGGAATATCTGCGGCTCCTTGTACATTGAATTTATATTCACTTTGTTTCTGCGGCTCCTTGTACATTGAATTTATATTCACTTTGTTTCTTGTTGGCTCCATCCTCAAAGAGTTATTAACATTTTGTTCTGCGGACAGATGGCTAAGAGGCTTTTGCATATTGCTAATGCAGAAGGTCTTCAAGTAAATGAGGTAGATGTTATCTCAACTCCTTTTGTCGCACTTCTCATTGAGTTGCCCGTAGCTTTTATGTTGCTGCTAACATTGTAGAAATGAAATTCTCTCTAAAGTTTGCGAATGACTGGAAATTGCTAAACTACCACTAACAGAGTTAGTTTCATGCATGTAAAACTTTTGCTCCCGTTTTTGTGTATGTTTCTAATGTTTGCTCATAAATTAGTAAATGTTTAATGTACAATAAAACAGTGTGTTTCTGTTTAAAATTTGGAAGTGAGTTCATTTTGTTAGTTTGGATAAAAGTTACTTCAGTTTTCATTAATGGAATGGGCATAGGAACTTGATATGGTAGAGAGTTTTTATTTGTTAGCAAATTCACAGATGATTTTTGTCCATATCAACAAAGTGAAAGAGACCCTTCTACAGTTGCAAAAAGTGAAAAATACTTACAGTTAACTCTTGTATCTTGGTTAGAATTAAAAAAAGTTTAAAATCCACATAACGGATTGTTTTTTTTTTTGGAATTTTAGAGCTAAGAACCTCCATTTCATTCTCTCTCTCGTTGTTTACTTTTATCTAACATGGCTGCTTGTTTTGTTTTGTTTCTCTTAACCCCAACTTAAAGATTGCACTTGAAGAATTGGCGGAAAGGGTTAATGGAGATATGCGAATGGCATTAAACCAGTTGCAGTACATGAGCCTCTCCATGTCGGTCATTAAATATGATGACATACGGCAACGCCTCCAGGGCAGTTCCAAAGATGAGGATATATCACCTTTTACTGCTGTTGATAAGTAAGATTTACAATTAGTTCTGTTTCACCTCTACGTTTAACATTGAGTCACTTTTTTGCTGGAATCATTCAGCTCATTTCTACGTTTATTTGGCGAGATTTTGATTTCAGATGTCAAGTTTTATGCTTTTGGATCTTTGATTTTTGTGATTTTACTTTCTTTCTTGGAGTTGTGAAATGTTGAATATATTGCTTATGTTAAATGAGTCTGGGAAAGAAGAAAGTGATGTTAACCCCCAGGAACTGCTGCAGGGCCTCCAATTTAACTAATTCTAGATAACTGCAAACTGTTTGCCTGTCCAAATTTTGATTGTGCTCACTTTCTATTGCTGAATCTTAGGAAGGTGATATTGTATACTCTGGAACTTGTACACTTGCATCTTTTCTGGTAAAGAGGGAGCAGTGACTTAGCCAGGTGGTATATTTGTGGAAGTTGTTCAAACTTGTGGCTGGCATAGAGCGTTTTTATTTTTTTATCCAAAGGATCCTATGATGGTACATGGGTGGCCCTTGTTTTGTAGTAATAGTGATCTAGTGGGGACATGTTATCATATACTCTCTTATGCTTCCTTGGAATATCTAAAATCGTAGATAGGAATATCTTTTTTGTAGTTACGTAAATCTTTGGAAACATATGGCCTTTTTGTGAACTGAGAAACAAAATTTTACACCAGACTAAGTATATGTAAAAAATCTGAAAACTTAAATTTACATTGATCAACATATGGTATAAACTCTCTCACGCTGTGGACACTCTGGAGTAAAGTAAAAACAAGTTTGGTTTTGGTTTTGACATCTGAATGTATATCAAATTTTACTTTTTCCATTTTGGTTTGGAGAAAATGTATAAATATTCATTTCTTTAATCTTAAGGAAATTAAGTAGAGACAAAGATTCCCACTATTGAAGTGGTTTTCGTGTTCCTATGTAATGCTTGATTGAAACGAGCAGATAGACTGTATAAAACCAAGCACTGAATGTACTTCGAAATGCTGTAAGGTTGCTTTTACTTTTGATGTTGAGGGCATTTAGTCTTGTATAGAGATCTTGAGTTGCTTCTGTCCCTTTGTTGTTTATGGTGCAATTGCTCCCCTTGAAAATTTTTATGGCTTCGATATTTGCAATTTTGGTTTGGTTCCCTGCAATTTGGTGGGCTTTCACCAACATAATTTACTGTCGAATATCCAGGAACTGCTGGTTGGTTTGAGTAGTTGATTGCTTTTATTCTTGGTTAATCCTCCTCAGTTGGTTTGAATAGTTATTAAGATACTGACTCCTCTATGCTGTTTGCTTGAATCCAATCTGAGTTGACAGATCGTTGTTTGTCAAATCAAAGAAATGTTTCGCTGGTATTTGTACCTAGTTTCATTCTTTTGAACTTCTGCCATCTCTGTTGCGTGGCACCTTATATGTATGTAAAGATAATTTTGTCCGAATGCAAAATGTAAGGTTCTGATGTACCTGCTCGTATGTTTTGGTTGATGCAGGCTGTTTGGGTTCAATTCTGGAAAATTGCGTATGGATGAACGCATTGATCTAAGCATGAGTGATCCTGATCTTGTCCCTCTTCTTATTCAGGTAAATACATGACTGCATCGAAAATATTCATAGTCATTGGTCTTCTTTTCTCAAGCCTCGAAGATGGATTTCAGTGCATCTGAGTTGTAATTTTATCTCTCTTTTTTTCCCCCCAGCGGATACCTATGAATTTACTTATTTTGCGGTGACTGTGTTACTAGTACCTATATTCTTCTTTTAGTGGATGAAATACTTGGCAAGTTTTCTCTTTTCTTTTCCCTTTTTTGTTTATTGCTTTTCCAATTTTTAGAAATTAGAAGAGAGCCTATGGTACAGCTGTAAGAGCTGCTACCATATAATCTGAGGTCGCGGGTTTTAACTTGAGGGAACTGCTTTTGATAGAAATATAAGGTACTTCTGCAGACCTCAATGATGTAGCAGTTCCACAGATTGCCCATGCAGGAGTTTCTCTGAACTTCCTTCTGTTTTCATCTGTAATATTAACCGAGTCATTATACTAGACGGATGAAGCTGCATATATTCTGTTACAGATTGTCTTGTTCTAGTATCTTTAATTGGGTTCAAAATGTGTTTTGCACTTGTGGTATTGAGTTGTTGGATGATGATATAGCATCTCCCGGGAGCTAGGTATAAAATTACAAAAATGGAGGACATCTTTTTCTCCATTTTGTTTGCTATTAGTGCTCTGTCTTGAGACTCATCTGAAGCCCCCTTAACTTTGGTTTGTTTTGTACTTTATACCAAGGAAACCCTTGAATTATCCAGTTGTATACTGATGATGATCTGAGGGCACATCAGAGACTTACCGCTTGTGCTGAATATAGATCCATTTGCCTGACCTGGGCTTTGCTTTTAGGCTTCTGAGTTTTATTTAAAATATTGGAAACTCTTTTAAATTGTACATATCTGATGTTAAATGGATTATTCTGGCAATGTACTTGCAGGAAAATTATATAAACTACAGGCCTAGTTCAGTTGGGAAAGATGATAATGGGCTGAAAAGGATGAGTTCTATAGCCCGTGCTGCTGAGTCTATTGCAGATGGTGATATATTTAATGTGCAGATTCGTAGATATCGGCAGTGGCAGCTTTCCCAGTCTAGTGTTCTTTCATCTTGTATAATTCCGTGAGTTTTATTTATAACCCTTATGGATGGTTTTGGGTTAAAGATCCTTTTTCCTGCTTTGAGGGTCATTCTTAACTTGCGTTGCTTTTTCCTGTAGTGCTGCTTTGTTGCATGGGCAAAGAGAGACACTCGAGCAGGTGATGGGTTATTCTCACGTTATACTTTAATTTATAAGGCAATCTTTTTTTTTATCTGTCTCTTGTCTTGGATAAACCCAAGTTTTCCTTTCAATAGTTAAACTCGTTTTCGAAGAAAATGTGATGAAAATTCTCTTAATTTTTGAATTATGACTTCTTTTTTTTTTTGGATAAAAATGTCATTCTTTCTCTATATCAAACTATTGGACTTCCTGGATAATTGGAAAGAGTTTCAGAAGTTTGATGTGCTCCGTTTACTTCAATGTACAGTACTTACTCCTTAATTTACTACAACTCAAAGAAATAATGTGATGTATGTCTATGTACCTGTTTATCCTCACCATTCCTAATTTAACGCTCTTCCACAAGCATTGGTTGCAGTTCAAACTGTTATTTACTTTTGTTATGAGATGCGGTAATCTAAGAAGGGGCTTTTATGTGTTGTTTAAATGCAGGGAGAGCGCAATTTCAATAGGTTTGGTGGATGGCTGGGGAAGAACTCGACAATGGGAAAGAATTATCGACTTTTAGAAGATATGCATGTCCATTTACTTGCGTCGCGTGATTCTTATCTGGGCAGGTAGGGTTTACATTTTCTCTTTTGTCAATATTTCTTTCAGAAATTGTCTATCCATTTGCTGATTTATTCTTAGAAATTGGTTGATGTGCTTGAAGTATTGGATTTACTTGAAATTGCTTGTACGTATCAAGTATGTAGATTATTCTGGAATGAAGAAACTATTAGACATCATTTTACTGTTCTTATTTTATAACTTTAATATAAGGAAAATGTCGTAAGATTGGGAATTATATTAATTCTCTCCTGATGATTTAGTATTTTGTCTCAGATTTTAATGTTACAAGTGTATACATGTTTGAACAGTGGCTAGATCATTTAAGAAATCAAAATGGTTTTGTTTTGTTTTTTTTAATATAAAAAAAAAATGGATGGCCCCAGCGAGAATCGAACCCTCGACCTCCTGGTAATAACCATCCCCCAGAGGACAACAATATACTCTGGAGTCAATGACTATTTATGTTAGATATCTTAAATTTGATTTGGTTTTGTCTGCGGCTTCTCTTGTGCATGGTTCAGGTCAAATTTGCGATTGGACTATTTCACCCCTCTTGTGAAGCATTTGACTGAGCCACTGAGAGTTCTGCCGAAGGTAGATTTGGTCTTTTCTCTATTAAACTGTGGAATGTGCAGAAGTTTATGGATTACATCAATGTTGGAAATAATTGCCAGGATGAAGCTGTGGAGAAGGTGGTAGAGTTCATGGATTCATACTCTATAAGTCAGGAAGATTTTGATACTGCAGTGGAGCTGTCCAAATTTAAGGTACATTGTAACCTCCGCTATGTGCTTTTTTCTTTCTTTGTCCTGCCCTAACTGGAAATGACTAAGTTCCTATTATGTGTGTGAATCAGGGACGCCCCACTCCAATGGATGGCATACAGCCTGCTGTGAAAGCTGCACTAACGAAGGCTTACAACAAAGGAAGCAGCTCACGTGTGATTCGGACTGCTGATATGGTGACACTCCCTGGTGTGAAGAAGGTCCTTAGGAAACGAGTTGCTGCAATGTTGGAACCGGTAGAAGAAAGTTTGGCTGAGGACAATGGTGAGCCACTCGAAGAAAATGAGAACTCAGATGCAGAGGATTTAGGTACTATCATCTTGTAGTTTGCATTACTAAGGACCACATTTTTCCGTCAAGGCCATCTTTTATGCATATAAATTCAAGAAGAGTAATCTGTGTATTCACTTTATATGGCAGAAGACAGAGAAACTGCAGAAGAAAAGCTGCAATCAGATCTCGCTGACCTCAAGTTAAAAGGTAGGTTTTTTTGTCAGTGTTTCTCTTCTGTCAATACACGTCTGTACTCAACATTGTCATTATCTGTCTGCTGTAACCTGTCTCCTTTCTCCATTCAATACAATAGGGATAGAGGTGCAAGTGGATTTGAAGGGTTCTGGTAGTTCAAGTGCTGGAAAGGCATCTTCAGGGAGAGGGAGAGGGAGAAGTAGAGGAAGTTCGGATTCTGCAGAAAAGAAGGTTGGTGGTGGACGGGGTTCAGGATCTGCTTCCAAGAGGAAGAGATGAGAAGTTTGAGGCTTCCACAAATAATGTGAATAGTTTTACTGCGTTTCGCTCCAACATTTTTGTCACTGAAGTTGGAGCACCTTGAAGGTCGTAGCGCGGCCACTGTAAAGTAGTATTGCTTGCAGGTTTTATTAGTGGTTGCAATTCCCTGGGGGACTTCTCTTAATCTGTTTGGCATTATTAGTGATTAGAAGATATGGCGCTACTCTCTGGTTTTCTTTCTTTCTTCGTTATAGAAGCATCTTACAGTTGTGATATATATTTTCGATTGAAGTAAAGCTACTCCCTCCGTCCCATAATTAGTGTCCAGTTTGAGTTTTCATTTTTAGTTCAAATTGTATTAAAAGTGAAATTTCAAACTGGACAATAATTTTGGGACGGAAGGAGTACATGATTATCAATTTTCCGCGCTACCAAAAGGAAATAACAAGGCCCAACTCGCAAATATATGACTTTAAATTTTCTTCACAAGCAAAAAGTACAGATAAACGGATGCAAATGAAAGCGTAATAGCTGTGTAAATTAGGTTTGAATTATTATCATATTGAGTATAGACTAAGGTAAAACAAAAGTTTAATAATGTAAAACAGATGCAAATGCGCTCAAGAAATTGTATATAAAATAAGATAAAACAAAAGTTTATAGAATAGAGAAGATTCATCATTTTTAAAGACTTCAATCCTTCGGAATAGTTTACTCAAGTTTATTTATCACAGTAAATATTTGACTGTTTTAATTTATTTTTTTGGAAAAAATGTCGTTCCTACTCAGTTTTGTTCTCGTTGTCAATTATACCCAATAGATTTTCGGTTAGCCAACGTTACCCTAATGTTTGAAATTTTTGTCAATTTCATCCAATCGGCCCATTTTCCGTCTAAATTAACGGATCTCTGTTAGTTTTTTAATAAAATAATAAATTTAATTATAAAAACACCCTAATAATTTTTAAAAATTTTAAAAATAACCCCTAAAATTTATAAAAATAACAAAACAGTCCCTTTTTACTTTTTTATTTTATTTTTCTCTATCTTGTTCAATTTCTCTTTACTACTTTTAATGACCATAAAAGTCTATTATATGAGTTTTAAAAAAATATTTATTTATTTTCAAAATCTACTGTAAAAATTAATCTTTGTGTAGTTGTAACCCATGATTGTACTTATATAAGTATGTTAATTTTTTTAATAATATAGTTTAGTAATACAGACACTATTTTTTTGATTTATTTTATTCTTCCTAACATAAAGATTAAAAACATTTAAATGAAACTAATATTCCACATAAAAATAAAATATAAGATCAAATAAAAAAAGTATTAATATATTTTAGTGTATTACAATTTAACTCAAGAGACTATAACTTGCATTAATATAATTCATGAAAAAAACTAAAATATAAAATAATTAAGACACTATTTTTCTGATTTATTTTATTTTTCCTAACATAAAAATTAAAAACATTTAAATGAAACTAATATTCCACATAAAAATAAAATATTAGCTCAAAAACATTTTATTTTTTTATTTGAGCCAATATTTTATTTTTATGTGGAATATTAGTTTCAATTAAATGTTTTTAATCTTTATGTTAGGAAGAATAAAATAAATCTAAAATATAGTGTCTTTATTGCTAAACTATATTATTAAAAAGATTAACATACTTATATAAATACAATCATGTGTTACAACTATACAAAGATTAATTTTTACAGTAGAGTTTGAAAATAAATAAATATTTTTTAAAACTCATACAATATATTTTTATGGTCATTAAAAGAAGTTGAGAGAAATGGAACAAAATAGAGAAAAATGAAATAAAAAAGTGAAAAGGGACTATTTTGTTATTTTTATATATTGTAGAGGTTATTTTTAAAATTTTTAAAAACTACTAGGGTGTTTTTGTATTTAATTTATTATTTTATTAAAAAACTAACGGAGATCCGTTAATTTGGACGGAAAATGGGTCGATTGGACGAAATAGGCGAAAAATTTCAAACATTAGGGTAAAGTTAGCTAACCAAAAATCTATTGGGTATGATTGACGACGAGGGCAAAGATTTAGGTAGGAACGACATTTTTTCCAAATTTTAGCCACAATTACTACGGGAATTTTCCCAAAAAAATTAAATAAAATAAACGTGGACAAATTTAAATTTTTCAGAAAATATTTGTGGACAGAATTATATTGCTCGGATTTCTGAAATCCGAATTTCGATTAAAATTAGAGATTCGGATTTTTCAAATCCGGATTTATACTTAATAATAAAATAATAATTTCATAAATTTTGTTGAATAATAGTTTTTTTTATTCTTAAATGAACAGTAAAGCTCGGATTTGTAGAATCCGAGTTTAGTTAAAAATTAATAAATCGCGGTGCGAAATTGTTGAATCCAAAAAACCGGAAGTCCGTAATCCGGTTTGACGAATTCGGATTTTAGAAATCCGGCTGCCTTTAATTTTGGTTGGTGGAAGTAGGCATGTGCCTTAAATTGGAGGACCAAAAAATTACTAAAATAATCCTCAATTGACTAAATCCGGATTTATGAAATCCGAATCTAACGTAGTTCGGATTTCGAAAATCCGAGTTACTTACGGACTCGGATTTCGTAAATCCGAGTTTAACGTGCTATAAAGAAAAAAATTTCAGTGCAGTTCTCATTCAAATGAGAACCGAGTTGGATTTTCTTTTTGCGGCTCAAACAAGGCGAATTGAAGTTTTGATGCATTCTTGCCTCTAGATACGTGGAATCGTTATTTGAAAGAGGTTAGATTGCAAAACCATGTGATTTAGTTTATTTTTGCGTTATTTTGATTGTTAGAATGATGTATGATAGATTAGGGTTTATGTTGGTTGGTTGTTTGGATGTGTTTAGGTGTTGATTTTGAGGTTAGAGATGAGAAATCATAGTTGTTCATGAGATATCGAAGTTGATTTATAAGTATTTTAGTATGGTGTATTTGTTGGAGTATGTATGGTGTATGGTGTATGGTGTATTTTAGAGAATGTATGGTGTATTTTGTTGATTTTGTTATTAAGAAATGATTAGTTATTGATGTTTTTTTTAACAGTTATCAATGGCACGTAATGTATCATACATGCTTAATTTGTATCATACAAGTAAGTATGTGATAGAGAACGGTAGCATCAACACTTTTTCGAATATGCCGGATGATGGTTTGTTTGTCGAAGAAAGGTTGTCATATGAGGGATTGATTAGTAAGATTTGTATGACCCTTGGTTGGGATTCAGCACACGTGAAACTCCACCTTTCTTTGATTTTCGATAGTCCCGGTGGTAGGCGTGTAGTGAAGATCAAGAATGATTCGCATGTAGAGTTCATGAACCGTGTAGATCCAATGTCATGTTTGGATTTATACATAGATTTGGAAGATATCACTCAAGAAGAAAGAGAAGCGAGTTTGGAAAACGTGTCATTTGGTGGTTTTCGAAGGGGGGAACGTGCTAGTACTTCTCGAAACCGTGATGAAGAGGAGACACCTTTATTTGCACAAAATGACTACCGGAAAGAGTCGGATTCCGACTACATAGCTCCAAGTGAAAGCGAAGAAGACTGTGATGTCTCCGGAGAGAGTGATTTTGAAGAAAGTGATGATGAAAGGTTGGAAAATGAGGAAAGGGATTGTAATCTATTCGCCCGATGCCATGTATATAGTAAGATGGGGAACTGGGATGCCTCATGTGTAGACAAGGATGAGTTTGCTCTTAAGATGTGGGATGAGACGCCCGAAGGAATGGACATTGGTGTTTGTTTCAAATCTCAATCAGAAGCAAAGCATGCTGTGAAATTATGGAACATCCATCATAAAAGGGAATATACGGTCGCCGCGAGTAGTCCAAGGACGTGGGTGTGCGGTGCGTAACATTTAATGTGGAAAGTGAAGATGGTGAACCACCATGTGAGTGGAAGATGCGTGTGTCATTGAAAGCTCACGGCCTTCATGAAATTGTGAGATGGCATGATGCACATAATTGCATGACTCCTGTGAATGATAATGACAATCGGTGTGTGGACGCGTCTTTGATTGCTAGACTCATCAGGAGAAAGGTTGAGGACAACGTAGATTATACGGTAGCCTCGGCACAGAAAGATGTGAAGACCTTATTGAAAGTAGATGTGCCATACAAAAGGGCGTGGCACGGGAGGAGGAAAACCATAGAAGCAGTCTATGGTGATTGGACCTCCAATTTCGAAGAACTTCCACGGTAAATATCAACTTTTATCCGTATTGAAATATTTATAGTATTTTTATTTTTACATGTATTGAAATATTTTAACAATGACTTGTTGTTTTTAGGTATATCGCTGCGCTTAAGTTTACTAATCCCGAGACCGTAGTAGAGTGGGAATGGAAGGAGGGACAAGAAGGTTGGAACAGGGAAACCGGACATTTAAATACGTCTTCGGTCATTTGCACCGTGGTGAGATGTTTTCGAATGTCCACCGGTCATTTGTATCGATGGAACCTTTTGCGTGGTGGATACAAGGGTAAATTGCTTGTTGCGGTGGTGTATACTGCAAACAAGCACATTTTACCGGTTGCATTTGCAATTGTTGATGAGGAGACAGTAGAGAGTTGGACATTTTTTATGAGGAATTTGAGGTTGTGGGTTGTGTATGATAGAATCGTAAGTGTGATATCCGACCGGAATGCAGGGTTGTTGAGCGCAATGTCACAGATGGATGAATGGCGTGATTTAGGTGATGGTGGGCACTTTCTTTGCCTCCGCCACGTTCGCAGCAATCTTGTGTCGCGATATAATAGCAAAAAGGTGAAGCGGTTATGTTGGAAGATGGGCACGACGCTTTCAAGAGTGAAATACAACCGCATGAGGGCAGAGCTTATGGAATTCAAACCTGCTGCATGGGAGTATCTTCGAGGGATTGGAGGGAGTAACTGGGCTCGATTAAAAGCCAGTCTTCGCCGTTGGGGCATAGCGACAACCAACATTTCTGAGAGTTACAACAATGCGTTGAAAG